AAACAGTACAAAAGTTGTTATAATTTTTGTTGGCAAGGAGGGTACCCATTTTTGATGCCCATTATATAATTTTTTTTATCATTGAAATTCACCTGCTCATTTGTCTATAAAACAAACATCGGTTGCTGTAAATGACACATATTTTAGTGATTAATTCTTTGGGATTTTTAACAAGTTTTACAGCAGCTTTAATGTAGCCTTTATTTTCACTCTAGTTTACCGTTTCTTTGCCTTTCATTTATAATGCAGTGTCTCGAAAAGCCATTGTTTCCCAGCTTCTCACGATGAAACTATGTGATGAAAATTGGTCACATAAACTGTTTTAAGTTTAGTAAAGATTTAATAATTAGAGAAAATCAAGTTTAATGCCATATGATATCTGTTTTGTATGTCATACAGTTCAGGACATTATTTATTGAACAGCCCTCGTAAGTAAATTTACGAGTTCCATTTTTATTAAAAAAAAAAAAAAACAGCTGTCAATGATATCAAAAAGCCAGGACTTTGATTTATCATGGGAAATGGTTGTATAAAAGTTGAAAAGTCGTAAGTTTTTAAGCCGTTGATTTTTGTAAAATCTTGTGATTTCAAATTGTCCAAAAGTTCTTTGGAATTTTTAAGTATCCACATCTGATTCACACCACTTCTTAAATATATATTGTTGCACAGTTCTTCTGAAGTTTTCCTTCACTACTGTTAATATCTTAGAGTGGAGTAACAAAAGAGGCTTGGTTGAACATTTACTGGAACCCGCAATTTATTTTTGTTTGTAAGAATTTTTTTGAAGTTTCGGAATCCAATATATATAGGGTAGTTCAAATTTCTTTTGGATTTGTGGAATATTAAAAATATTCAAAACTGACATTTGATTTTGAAGAATTTCTTCCTTAAAAAGGAAGTACGTGTGTATGAGTATAAGTAGGATTACCACTTGTAGAATTAAATCCAAGTTCTTCTAACATACAATTTTTATAATAAGCCTTAAAAACAAAGACAACGTTGTTACCTGCTTTGTCGGCAGGGACCAGTACGTATTGATCATATAATCTATTTAATTCTTTTCACTTCTGGTTTGTTCTACACAGAAGGATAGATGGTTTTCAATCTTTTAATGCGCGACTTTAACATGGATCTAATGCATTTAATCCATTCTGACAAGTGTCAATGTCTTCTTTTTGATATCTGGCTCATCGTCTGGCGTAATTTTCAACAGAATCCATAATATTTATGAAATTCCGACGTATTATACATGAACACACAGGTTTGGTCGTAAAAAAGTTTATACTTACCTGGTAAAAATCAACTAAAACTTTTACCGAGGCAATCAATCAGAAAAAAAAACACAGTCCCAGAATCTCTTATGTAGTAAATCTGACAGTGTATATCCATAAATGCTTCATCCATGCATGTTTGGTCAAAGTAGGTCTTATATTAGTTTAAGTACAGCTTTCAATCCTTTAATTAGACACTCCTCTGACATCATTGAGCTTGTTTTTTTTTGTCAAATAACACAAAACATATTTGTCTCATAAACTGTCATTTATTATGAAATGACAATATATAATATAATACATAAAACTGAATGAAAAAGACTGAGAGACAATGTAACATTAAAACACAATTCCTGAGAAAAATTATTAAACAGTTATGCGATAACAAATTGGCCTCCCGTTTGTGACTATTACATAACATATATAAATTGGCAAAATATGTGGCCTCCAAAATATGACCATAAAAGGAAAGGCTTCAAACATTTCCTTACACCACCCCTATATTAGTAGTTACCGGGTACTTCGGAATGGACTTGTTAATCAATGTCAAGGCTTTTTGACAGCATAGAGGACTGTTTTACAATACATTCCAAAATTGTGAATTAACTTCTACTTTGATTAGACACATCCCTTTGATCTTGACACATCTACAGTATCTTACTCTTAAATGCTATACCAGAAAAGACGGTTATAGTTATTTACAAACAAAGCCTTATGATAATCCCATTGATTTAATTTAATGATGTTGCAACGAGTATGATATTATTCCCTACATATGGAGTTTATGTATTGCAGTTGTTTCATTACGCAAGAACATAAGAACAGTATTTTCGAAAGGGTAAAGCTTTAGACAATAAATTGATGAAACAAAGATATCAAAGATTAAGTTCAAATTCAATATTTCGCTAATTTTATGGTCGAAAGAAGCAACGACATTTGTCAGCAAATTAATCCATCATTAAGTCGAATGAAGATTTGCGTTCCCATACAAACTGTATTTTTACACTGAATGGTCTAGGGATTTTTTTCATTTGCATAATAATTAATAGTAATAAAAAGAACAGGGCAGGTGTGATCAGTTGACAAAGAATGTTTACTCCTACATGACACCTGATTCCAACTCTGAAGTTTTTAGAGGTCCGTGCTTGCTCTAATTCCAATTCCTTTTGATCCAATTGATTTTTTGTATTAAATCTAATTATAGCTTGATTTCTTAGATTATCAAGATTTTACTCGTTCCATAGAAGCAAAGAAGTTACAAAAAGTGAAGCTTTAATAATAAAAAGCAATGGTTATGTTACCTAATTTTGACACATTAATCAGAAATATTTTAAACATTATCAAAGAACAATATCTAGACTAATATACAAATTATTTAATTTTATCATTATTTTTTCTGAAAATGTAAAAAAAAAAAATCAATACAATATTAGACAAATATAATATTTGGATTGTAATGTCTTTAAGCTGCAGATTTTTTACCAATAAAAAATCACACAAGTCATAATCCTATATGCGACATTTTCCTAAATGCAAAACAACAAATTACAAAGGAATATTTAAAATATTACTTTTATCAAATGGCAATTTTCCATCAACTTAATTAGAATAAGCGTTGCATAAAACGATTCTCTGTCTGTGAAAGATACACTAAAATGCCAAATTTCAAGAAAACAAAACACCAACTCATTTTTTCTTAAATGATACATGTAGATGTGCATAATAGACTGACAAGTCATTCAAATGTTTACATCACGTTGGGAGAAAACGAATACAAAAGCAAAAAATGCGTTTTCTTAATACTTATAAAACAACAACAAGAAACTTCTGATATTCATATCCACAATTGTAACGGGATAAGTGCGTTTTTAATATTATCTCAAAGTTGGATATATTAAATTTCATATCATCTTTCTTTGTGCTAATATATAGGATATTTTCAGGATAGAGATAAAAAAAAAACTAAGAACAAGTACAAACTTGCTTTCTTTTTTGTATTTCATAATTTCTCAGAGGTATATTTGAAATGCATGTAGATTTTTTTTCTAGCAGAGGTACACTATTCCTAATAATATCAATTGATTAAAAAAACTAGTTATAACATCCAGAGATTCTAATTTCATATCCTAAGTTTAGTCTCAAGACTTAAAAGCTTTTATATGTAGATCTAATATTTATCCTACAAAACTACATAATTACCCAGAATTTTTAGTCAACTCTCATTATACTTTTACCTAGAGGTAAGATGATTGATTTGTGGATCCCACCAAGGTTTTCCTGGCAGTAAGAAGATGCTCAAAAGAAATGTTTGTTTTCGAAGTTTTGCAAAGAGACTGGTTAGAGATCATGGTTTTCATCTTTTGCCACCTATTCCTTACTTTACGTGTGTAAACACTGGAGAGCCCACATATCCTGTTTTCATAAGCAGGATCATCCGGGGAATTAAGGCTCTGCGCGGATTTAGTAGAGATATTTTTCACAGTTTTGATCATCTGGTCACAGAAGACAACAACTACCGGGTGACAATGGTGAAGTTCAACCTCCAGAGAACCAAGATATGTCATATAACCTTGAACAGAAGAAACATGCTTATAATAAAATGGAAATAAAAACTAAATTAAAATTAATTCATTTAGAGATTAATATACTTTGATTCAATTATTTTAAAATAGCTGAGAATATCTTACGGCAAGCAAAAATATTAATTTATTATATACCTAACGTGTATCACTCAACTGTTGAATTTACGCTATCACGTGACGTCGTGATCCGATTTTCCGGATCACCAACATGTTGTTTTCTGAATCCATATCACCACTCTCTGAAACTGATGACGTAGTACGCAGAAATATGACGTCATTTTTCTTGCGCGTTAAAAAGTCCCTTGTAATTATGCTTTGTTTAATGGATTAATATTATACAATTGTTCTCTAAAGGTTTTTTCTAATTTATTTAGCCAGTTATAAGGGGGTATATAATAAATTTATCATTATAACAGTAACTTGATCCGAAGAGCCGTATCACGTCTCGTTGACAGGCGCGGATCATCAGATCAAACTCGACGCTTCGCGTCTCGTTTGATCTGATGATCCGCGCCTGTCAACTCGACGTGATATGACCCTTCGGATCAAGTTACTGTTATAATAATATATATTTATATATTGGTCAACATATTAAATTTTGAAATCTTAAAAGACCTTATTATAAGACGAAAGGTTAGCATCAAGTAAATGAAAGTTGTTTAATTTTGTACGTCAGGCATGGGCTAAATTATATTATAGGGTCATTGAATTTATATCGGTGAATATTGGCACAAGTTGGTTGTTCAGATACACGAGCTTGCGATATAAATTCAATAACTCCTTTATAATATATCTTAAACATTTTCACATAATTTATAATAATCAATCCAACTTAAAAAAGGCTACTTAATGATTTTTTAAATGTCAGTATTCAAATTAATGTCTGTCCTGTAAGCAATCAATATCGCATCATATCGATGACCCTATCGAGCGATATGATTTGCTTATTTAGGTTTTAATGGGTCTGATACGTACAAATTTTTCAATAAATAATTTCATTTTGTTTGAAAAATAAACATATCTTACCTAGAAGCCACTTCATTTCGTTAATTTCGCTATGAAAGTTTAACCAGACGACTTTTTTTGTTTACAAAGGGGCGTTCGATATTGAATACTCGAATTCGGAATGTTTCGGGCATACTCGTATACGTGATACAGTGTACAAAGTCAGCGTTCAATAAAACGTCGTGATATTGAACGCAAAAATTCTCTAGATTGTTGGTAATATTTTATTAGAGACTATTTATTAGCTATATAATAATATAATTTATTGATACACTCACCGATATCACGATGTTCATATCCAGGAAATAACAAGGATCTATCCATACGCGCTATGTAAAATATTCCTAAACACATGGACACTATGACCCGGTACACACATCTGAATAAACCAATCAGCATATAGTAGAAAAACAGGAAATAGGACAGATTCTGGTATACTCGCCTGCAAAAGAGTCAAAATCAACTTAGATTTGTAAAGAAAGTGCAACTTGTCGAAGTTTTCATGCAAAAGAAGGATATGGAGATAATGAATAGTATTCAATATCAAAGACCATAAAACAATACAAAATAGGTGCAGAGCAAACACGGACCTCCGAAACATCAGAGGTGGGATCAGGTGCCATGAAGGAGAGAGCACCCCCTGCTGACCAGTCACAACTGCCGTGAGATCCTCGTCATGATCAGGAAATAACGGAAAAATCCGTCGTCAATTCAATGTATAAATAATAGACTAACAATAAGTATGAAAAACTTGAGTCAGCATTTGACTCAATGATAAATTATATTTATTGATAAGGTCATTGTATCGACCATAGAACTTACGAAGTATTGACTTTAAACGAGACTGCAGATATTCTTGTTTCATCAACTTGCTTGTCAATAATATACCTCGTTTTAGATATTACAATTTATTTCACTTCAAAATAAATCAGATTATTATAGCAATGACAACATTAGTTCACTTGCACCCGATAAAACTGCGGGAAAAATTATTCCTGTACCTGGGTATTATGCAACCTCGCCAGACGTCACACAAGGCGGAGGCCCAGTCGTCAAAAGGAAAAAGAAAATTAGCAGGGAAAGCCAGATTACCAGGAAAAAAGCCAAAAGTTTCCCCATTTACGACACAGGGAATAAGCATCGAGGAAGTAGCCTCATCGGAGCTAATCCTCCCTGAATTGAGACAGACCATCAAGTCCATTATTACGGACAGGCAAGACGCTACCCTGACACCGGCACAGCCACAAAAAGAAGCTCCGCCAGAACACTATGGATTTTCAACTACTACAGTGGCCGCAGGCGACGTATCTGAACAACAGATTGACGTTGTAATTAATCCAAAACAGCCAGTGGCAAAAGAAGGTACTAATTTAGTTCCTTTAAGTTTAGAATCAAGCAATTTAGCTTCATGTTTAGAATTAAATAATGCAATAACAAGCGTTGACGATGACTTAGGGTATGCATGTACCGCAATCTACAAAACAAAAAATTGTTAAAGGTGAATTTATTGAGTTGCACAGTTTACTTGATAGGCATCCAGAGAACAAATTGGTCCTAAACAATGGTAAATTGTCTGTCAAACCAGTTAGTCAAATTAAGATTGTAGACATTCAAACATGGCTAGACGCATTTTTTATTTTCATGAGTATATACTTGGGTGCTCATTCAAAACAAGCGCAACAGTTGCTTAAGTATATGGCAAATGTAAAAGCCGCTGCTAGCCGGTCAACAGGTTTTGGTTGGAGGGAATATGACAGGCAATTTTGTCTTAAGAAAGCAAGAAATGCTTGTATTCCCTGGAACAAAATCGACCAAAAATTGTGGCTTTTATATGTAAATTCTTCAAGTGTTCCTAGACAAAATACACTTCAACAAAAAGCGTGTTTCGATTTCAACAACAAAGACTTTTGTGTCCGTCCTTATTGTCAATATAGTCACAAATGTTTGAAATGTACTGGTAAGCACCCTGCAACAAAGTGTCAAGAAACAAATCAAAATTCAAACAAACCCCTCACGTCTAACAATGAAAAGAACTCTCATCTTTTTCGTCGCTTCTGGAAAAAACCACAGTCATCAAATTATCAGAAAACCAGGAACAACACCTAACAACACCTATTAATGTGAACAATATGGTTTTGTTCTTGGATATGTATCCAAAAACTTTAGATGCAATCGCATTAAAAGAAGGTTTTAATAGTGGTTTTAAAATCAAATATTCAGGTCAGCGTTTTTCATCGACATGTACTAATTTAGTTTCAACTTCGCAGCACCCGAACGAAGTTAAGCAGAAAATAGACAAAGAAATTGCATTAGGTCGTGTCGAAGGTCCATTTGATCAAGTGCCCTTGCAAAATTTTAGAATATCACCTATATGTATCGTTCCTAAAAAAGACGGGGGTTGGCGATTAATACATCATCTATCATTTCCTGAAGGAAATAGTGTTAATGATTTTATTGATCCCGATTATTGTACGGTTCACTACACACCTTTTGATGAAGTCTTAGAAATGATTGCAGCACTAGGTAAAAACTCATTTCTTGCAAAAAAGGATGTCAAATCAGCATTTCGGTTATTACCAGTACACCCTTCGGATCATGAATTATTTGGTTTTAAATTCAATAACAGGTTTTATTACGATATGTGTTTACCTATGGGATGTTCGGCAAGTTGTGCCCTTTGGGAAAAATTTGCTCATTTTTTACAGTGGGTAACTGTCACAAAAACAGGAATAGAAACTTTAAACCATTACCTCGACGATTTTATTTTTGCTGCAGAAGATTTTAAAGTATGTAAATTATTAATGTCAAACTTTCAGAATACTTGTCGTGAATTCGGAATTCCGCTAGCAGAGGAAAAAACTGTTGGTCCCACGCATTGGTTCATTGGTTTTTCTAGGTATAGAAATTGACACAGAAAAAATGGTTATAGGTATACCAAAAGAAAAAACAATTGAACTTAAGAAAACGATCGAGACAATTTTGGGAAAAACTAAAATAAGATTAAAAGAGCTACAGTCCTTAGTAGGGTCTCTTAATTCCTGCGCTAAAGCCATTCCTGCAGCTCGTGCCTTTAATCGTCGTTTTTGTGATACCATGTGTGGGATTAAACATCCGTCTCATTTTATAAGGGTGAATGCAGGTATGAAGAGCGACCTACAGGTGTGGTTAAGTTTCATTGAACAGTTCAACGGCACTTTCAATTTTTTAGAGATTAATTGGCTTTCAAATTTCGAGCTACACTTATATACGGACAGCGCAGGAAATTAACAACTTGGCTGCGGCGTTTATTTACAAGGTCACTGGGCGTATTTTCCGTGGCCCACTAAGTGGCAGGATGCAGACATGATGTCGGATATAACTTTCTTGGAATTAGTTCCAATAGTTTTGGCAGTTGCGTTATTCAAAAATCATTTCCAAAACAAAAAAAATAATGTATACAACGTCGCTTTAGTATCTATTCTAAATAGGAAGACGTCTAAATCTAAAAGAGTAATGGAATTAGTGCGTCCTCTAGTTCTCCATTCAATAGTTAACAATATGTATTTTAAAGCTAAACATATTTGTGGTTGCAATAATTCTATCGCTGATTCTATTTCCCGAAAACAGTGGGAAAGATTCCGGGCTCTCGCACCAGAAGCGGACAAAGATCCTGTACCCATCCCAGAAGATTTCACGAAGATGATATTAGAGCTGAAATATAGTATTTAACGCTCAAGTCAGTTGCCCCTAACACGAAACTACAGTACTCAAATAGTTTAAAGATATTTTCTACTTTCAGGAATGAATATGGTTTAGAAGATATTTGGGGTTCTCCCCTATCTCACTTGTGTATTTTCATCGCTCACTTGTCCCTTCGAGATTTAGCGTACAGCACAATATCATCTTACTTATCGGGTATAAGTTTTAAATGCAAGTTGACAGGTTCCACTGATTATACTCAATGCTTTCTAGTTAGAAAATTATTAGAGGGTATAAAACGTTCTCGTAAGTCAGTTGATCGTAGGTTACCAATTACGGAAAAATTTTTGGAAAAGCTTATACCAAGCTCAAGTCTAGTATGCTCCTCCAAATTTGAAACATATCTATTTTGCTCTGCATTCTCATTAGCGTATCATGCCTTTTTGAGAGTCGGTGAATTTACATGCAATAAAACAAATGACAATCATCATGTTATCAGCATCAACGATATACAAATTTTATTCGATCAATCAGTAAAAAAGAAAATATTATTGTTAACAGTCCCTTATTCAAAGACTGATCAAACAGGAAATGGTTCAAGAATTCAATTGAACGAGTCACCTATGCCAGTTATATGCCCCCTATTTCATTTACAAAGATATTTGTCCGTCAGACCAAAAACTAATGGCCCCCTTTTTGTTCACATAGACGGCAGTCCGCTTACCCGTTATCAATTTACTTCAGTCCTTAATAAAGCTATAAATCTTTTAGGCCTTTCAAATTCACATTACACTTCCCACTCCTTCCGTATTGGGGCTGCCTCGGACAGTTTTACAAAAGGCCATTCTGAATCCGAGATCATGAAAAAAGGTAGATGGTATTCAAATGCTTATAAAACTTATATTAGAAATCAGTGAAATATATTTTATTACGATAGGGCAAGAAAAAAGTGTTTGGATAGTCGGCTCATCCATTATCAAGTGGGCTTTTCAACGAGCGAGCCTTTCACCCGAAAAATCTCATTTGGGTCTTAGACGTCTTAATTATCACATCCTTTGGCAGGGCAAGGGTGGCCTAACTTGGAAAAAACTGTTTCCCCGCATTCAGCTACTACTAAGGTATGAACCATCACCTGATGTTTTAATTGTTCACTGTGGTGGTAATGATATGGGTAATGTGTCTTTACTTGATCTACGCGTAATGATGAAAGAAACAATTCAAATGATTCAGTCTAAACTTCCAAATACTATCATGGGGTGGTCCCATATTCTTCCCAGATCTTCATGGCGCTACAGTAAGAATGTTAAATCTCAAAATCTGGCAGTCAAAAGAATTAACAGTTTTATGAGCAAATTGTTTGTTGTTAATAATGGTTTTTATATCAGTTATCCCGAGATATCTTGGGATTCTAACGGATTATTTGTTAAAGATGGTGTTCATCTTTCCGACCTTGGCAATGACATATTTCTATATAATTTACAAAGTAAATTGCAACAAGTCTGCTCTTCCAATGGCGAACGTAGGTGCCGGTCAATTTAAGCGTCGCTCATCCTCCAAATTTTTTGGCGGTGGTTGTTCTCCCTTTGCTTGAACAACCATGTGGCGATATTTCGCGACGCTTTTGGCTTTCATAGATTTGATAGCATTATTATACTGAGTATCTGTTCCCAGTACCAGTATAATTTTGTCTATCTTTTTCAATCATAAAGCCAATAATGTATAATGTATAATGTCATAATGTACAATGTCATAATGTATAATGATGAAATGCATAATGTATGCATAATGAATAATGTTTAATGATGAAATACATAATGTATGCATAATGAATAATGTATATTCATTAATAATGGATGCCACAATGTTTGAATAATGCATAATGTTATCTTTGAGGGCTCCACATTGGGACAGTGGTTAAAACTATAAGCCCTCAAGCTGTTTATGTGGCATAATATTTAATGTAATGCATATAATGTAATGTTTAATGTAATGTATAATGATTTTAGGGCTTGCCAATTTATCATCCGGCAGCCCTAAGGCCGTGGCCGCGTTCGCCAACAACAATCAATAAATCCTATATAACTTTACATTTGCCTTCATTGTCTATAATAATGTTCATATGTAGAGCATGCTCTTGCGTATCGAATCAACTGAGATATATACACTCTGTATGCAGGTGATGAAGGTATATTGCTTCATAAGTAAGGGAAGCTGACGATAGAAAAGTTAAAGTTATCACGTTTATCATAGAGCTTTGTTGTTAGATTACCATTAACGTCTTTTTCAAGTAAATTATCCAAGTATGAAAGAGATTTGTCAGACCCTGTGGTATATTTTTTATCTCAAGCTCACCAGGATATATGTTTCGACGTAGGGACCGAAATTACAATTGACAATACTATATGTCGTCGAT